GGGGGTGTGGATCGTGGATCGTTCTGTCCATTATAAAAACGACAGGAAGAGCCTGTCTCTGGGACCGAACTGCCTTTTTGGAGGGAGGCGATAATTCACGCAGCAAAATTAATTATTCAGACGGGTCTGCAGTTCAAGAAAATTTGCCTCTAATAGTACAGAGAATGGCATGTTTGTGGCCGTTTCCCTGGAAACATAATATCCAAGCAACAAGATAAATAAATCAACCAATTAATAACAACCACAGCCTTTGGTAATGATCTCATTCTCTGTGTTCATCTACAAGTCAAAGGAGAAAAAAAACACAAGTTTTCTGTTTATTTTTTGGAAATCGGACCACAGAATTCCCCCCAGGATCTCCGGCCCCCTCCCTCCTGTGACATTTTCCCTCTGGAATGGCTCTGATCTGGGGCTCCCAGTGCCAAAACGATCCCCTCTCGGCTGTCCTCTCATGCCAGGTGACGTGCTGCACCTTCCATACACCAAGGACACGACACAGCTAAGGTCACGCTGACCGTGAAGCACGCCCTGGAGTGTGTGCGCGACCTGCCCGGGGGCTGAGGTCCGGCAGCGCCCCCCCCAGGCTGCATCCCGGCATCGCGCTCCCCGCGCCCCTTGGGAGGGGGACGATGGGTGCCGCGTGACAGATGGTAGGGCACCCTAGTGCCCGGCAACCCCCCCCCACCCACACGCAAAGCAGAACACCACCAGATCAGTGACATTCTGTCTCATTAGAGCCTTGCTAATTACCACAGGCCCTTCCGGGTTTCTGGAGGGGGTGGGGTCACTTCCAAGGAGCCCCAGCAGGTGCTCCCTGGTCCGCGTGCTCCGGAATCAGAGGCAGCGTGAAAGCAGTGCAGGCTTTTTTCAATGGGTGACGGGAAGACTGCAGATCCTCAATCCAAACCAAAACGCGTCACGAAATTACACCCAAACCAATTACCGAACGGCATTATTTTCCTTCACGCGATTAATTTACATGGCACTCTGTTAAAACAAACAAATTAATTTGTATTTTTAAAAATCTCCTTAATATTATCCACTGCCATGACAGCCTGGGATCCTAATAGCTTATTCATTCCGAAACAGACATAACGGATTCCCGTCCAGATCCGAAAGTAAGTAAATGCAAATGAATCAGATCTGTTACGGAGTCTTTCTGTGGTCATTAACCCTAAAGTGGAGACCATATGGTCCATCCCAGCATCCCCCCTCCCCCTCCCCCTCCCTTCCCGCCTCTAACCCCACCGCAGTGCTCTCTGAGGGGCACCTACGACAACCGCTCCCCACCCCCCACCCTCGTACTGGAGCTCCAGAAAAACCCATCGCCACGTTCCACGACCGGGGATTCCTGCAGTGAGCCCCCAGGCAGACGAGGGAGTTGGATGGGAAATTGGCTCTTGCCAGGCACTGACCCGACGGAAATACCTCCTCGCTAATGAGTCTACCGCTCACTGGCCATTTCTGGTCGGGTTGGACCGGCACGCCGGCGCCCCCCCATGGCCAAGGTGCGGGGAGGGGTGAGTGCGAGGCACCAGCTGCCAGGGGAGAGAGCATTACGAGATGGAGGCGCAGATAACGGCTCTCCCAGGCCTCCTTTGAGTGGGGCAATTAGCACGGCTCTTATTGCGGCTGCGTCGGCGCCGACGGCGCGCGCGAACAGGCCAGCAGGGCGGCGGCGGGGAGACCCGCGCACAAGAGGACGGGCCAGCAGGGCGGCGGCGGGGAGACCCGCGCACAAGAGGACGGGCCAGCAGGGCGGCGGCGGGGAGACCCGCGCACAAGAGGATGGGCCAGCAGGGCGGCGGCAGGGAGACCCGCGCACAAGAGGACGGGCCAGCAGGGCGGCGGCAGGGAGACCCGTGCACAAGAGGATGGGCCGCAGAGAAAAGACAGAGTGGCTGCTGCTCTCCCACCAGTGGTGCACGTCGTCAAACTCATTGACAAAAAAGACAAAAAAAACAAACAAAAAAAAAGCTAGTCTGACTGACTGCAATTCAACGGGGGGGGGGGGGATGAAACCTATCTGCTATTAAAATCAGTTTTCTCAGCAAAACGCACCATTGAACTTGCACGTCTTGTTAGAAAAAGGTTTTTGCTTCTCGCAGAATCAGAAATGTATACAAGTATAAAGATGCACAAAATATTACTATTCATAAACAATAACAAAAATAATAATTTGAGGAAGAGGCCTGAAATTAGGTCTGGTATTCTCATTGCTATGGCATCGTTTGTTCAACTGACAAAACTAAAGCCACAAAATCACATTTACTGTATTTTATTGTAAAATATTGTTTTGTGAATCTTGGACTTCTTCAGCTATCAGTAAATCAAACATATGCAAAAAAACTATCAGTCTACTAAAAGTTGTAATTAACAAACAGCATCGACAATTCTTCTGTGAATTCCCCCCCCTCCCCCCACCTCTGATTCTGTGACATTTGACGGACGGCTGCCAAAACTACGGGGCTGAAGCGCGACACGGGTTCTGACACGACGTCTAGATACCAGATCTGCGGACGCCTACAGATGTTGGCGTTTCGAAACAAACTTCAAGACTTCAGGGCGCCTGCATCTGCAGTGCTACATCTAAAAGGGAGAAAACCTAGAGAACCTGGGACTCTAGGAAAGAGTTTTACCTCTCAAACTTGCGGGCACAGCCCCACGTGTAGCACATACCTGGCTCTTAGACGCAGCCACCTTAGCGAACAAGGCCTGGGACACTTTGGCACGCTTCATCTCCTGCTGGATCTCGTCGTAGATGGTGGCATTTATGTTCAGGATGCTGCTGTCGGATTTCCCGTTCCATTCAGTGGGGAGGGGCGAGGGCTTCACCTGTGTGCACATGAGATGAGACGCCAATTAAAGCTACCAGATTAGCGCCGCGTTCCCCAGGCTGGTCCTCGAGGTCCCACAGTCGGTCTGTATTTTGCTCCCTTTGAGTTGCCTGTCACACGCTCCACATTTACGCGTCCTACCGGGATGGACTGTCTGGGGGGGTCCCAAGGACCGGATTGGGAAACACTGGTTTAGTGGGGGGGTTGGTCAGCAGTTTTTCATGGATTCTTCAAAAAGCAATGACCCGTTCTCTAACTGTACAAGGGCAAACAGACCGGTTACTTAATCTGCAACGACAAAAGCCTTATTTCTCATTACAAGGCTTATTTGGTAAGGTGAAAACGCAGACTATATTATAAACTACATTAAAGTGGTTTTTAGGACCAGATTCCTGTACAAAACGCTTTGGTGGTGAACACCAAAATTAAAAAGTTACCAAAATCAATAAGCATATTTTGAGTTAGGATCTGAAATTGGACAAATGTTACATAGACTAAACACAACTTCATAATACAGACTCCCCTATACAATGCCAGTCACTGAAATTTACTTCAAATAAAATCTGATTTCTTTAATAGACTTACAAATAAAAGGCTTCAATTTGAATTTCTTTCTATCAAATGTTTTATAATATAACATCCCTTCAAAAAAAAAAAATGATTAAATAAGCCATTGAACAGAGGCTTGAATTAAATGAGTGAAGAATATCCAGATCCATTTTGATGGCAATTTTGTGCAATTTTACAACATTTTCAGCAAAGGCACTAGGATTCAGTAAGACAGCCAGCTTCCTTTCTGGGACACAGAAATCGTCCAATTCACTTCAGTCCACTCTGTGGCCGTGTGCCTAAATGATGTATGGTAACCATGGCGCTGGGGGCGGGGCCTACTCACGGGTGAAATGCCCACGGGAATCCTGGGATTCCAGTCCTCAGGCCTGGCATTGTTGCATTCCTCTCTCCTGGGCTGAAAAGGCAGGAGGACCAGGTTAGCCAAGCCTGCACATTTGTCATCTATAGAGATGATCTTTTGCACAAAACAAGCCTTGAGCAGTTTGGATAATCAAGTTCAACGTTTCTTCTTTTTTTTGTAATCGGATTTGAGAGTTTGCCTGAACCGTCATAAATTGTACATAAAAAGTGAAGTCCTTACAGGGCGATAGTAATCAAACTGAGAACAAATTCATAAATAGACCATCTGTCAAACACAACTGAAAACACATGACAATTTCTCAAGGTAAAGTAAGCTTGCATTAAATAGCTGGAGGTCAATTTCTGAATCCTGTCCATGAGACTAACCGTAATTCTTCATCAAAAGCAAAATCAGTTAAACTCCAGATCTGTGATCCGCTTGACTAATAAAAATGTCTGATGTTGTCTGCAAGTGCAAAAACATATAAATAAATTCCATCCATTTCAGTATTTACTGTACAGTACCTCCTTAATACACGGCCTACGTAAATCAGTCAACGTGTGATTATGCAACGCTATCACATAACAGAGTGTAATGTGACTAACAGACAACTGGGCTGAAATTAAACATCAGTCATTCATGCTGTGTTTCGTTTTCAACTAACCGTGACGAACAACTTTATGGTACGATGCTGAGTTTACACCATCGCTGCCGTAAATCACGCCGGATTGTGCACGCAGCGTTGTCTGCTTACAGTTATCCCCACAGTCTTACGCGCCTGGGTTAGTGAAAGTCATAAAAAGCAATCTGTGAGTACCTCTGAGCTCCAGAACCACAGCCCAGACCACACAAAGACTAAAAGTACAGATTACAACCATGTACAAAATAATTCAGTGAAAAACGAAAGCTAGCTAACTCCACGGCCCCTTCACGTTTTTACTTTTGACAGCTCCGTGTCGTTAAAGACTGAAACAGGCTTCTATTTTCCCTCCAAAATCTTAAATCTGATTTCCTCAAGAAGCCTTAGCTTATAGTATCTGACAATAAGTCCTTTTTGCATTTCAACGCGATCGATTATTACAGCCCGATCAGCCGTACTGAAGAGCTACGCCTGCTTGGCACCAGCTCCCCGCAGATCTCAGCCATTCTATTTATAGGGGATTATGGACAGATTTCGCCATTCACACATTCATACAATCTCATTGCTGTTTATAACAAGTGCGTGTGTATATCTATATTATATATATCGGTACATCTATACGCTTCACAAATCAGATTCAGACCGCTCCTATTTCACACTTCATATGGGAATCTTTTTTTGGTTACTGCATTCACCCGAAATTAAAAAATAAAATAAAATAATAATAGAAAAAAATTATAATGGTATATGTGAAGATTTACATAATACATATTTAAAATAATGTAAATCATTTGGTCTATCAGGTGACCATGACACTTGCAACAGCGATGGAGTATGAAGAGGAGTTTTTAGGACGCTTGCCGTTTCATCTCCGATCTCAAACTTTTGCAGAAACATAGATTGTTCTTTGGATTGTTGGAAATAGACCAACTTTGGAGGTAAAGCCATCGGCAGTGAGACATCCGACTCGCCTGCCGGATGGTAACTACCTTTTCAAAAGCACCGAACTACATTCCTCCAGCTGGTATACAGTCACAGGGGTTCAGTCTGGTTTATGGACAGACGGTAACGCTGTCGCCAATATGGCCGCCCACATTCACGGCACTTCAAGGGCCTCCCGTTCCACCACAGGACTCATTATCCCCAATAAAAAGGCCTTTCTCTCCGTTGAAACGAATAGAGACAAGCTTTGTCTTTCAACTCTACTGACATACTAAACCTCTTTTAAGATTCACTCAACTGGAAAAGTTGCTAAAGTTGCTTAAAAAAAATTATGCAATTACGTTCAATCAGATATCGAGGTGAAAAGGTCAAAGTGTGGGAGAAGAGATTCAACGGAAATTTGTTGTTGAGACATCACATGATTATTTTAGGTTACTCTTACCACCGTGTATGTTACTTCAGGTTACCAGAACCATTGCATGTTATTTCAGGTTACCAGTACTACAACGTGTTATTTCAGGTTACCAGTACTACAGCGTGTTATTTCAGGTTACCAGTACTACAGCGTGTTATTTCAGGTTACCAGTACTACAGCGTGTTATTTCAGGTTACCAGTACTACAGCGTGTTATTTCAGGTTACCAGTATCACCGTGTACATTAACCGGACTACTGGCACAGGTAGAGTTGCAGTTAGAAACTGTGCGTTCCCTGACAAAATGTCGCCTTGGTACATTTTGCCAACTGGGGGCAGGCCTCTGCAGTAAATTCTGCCGGCTGGGCCCCCCAATCTTATTTTGGGGCCCCTATAAAGTGCTGGGCCCCCTGAATCTGACAGGGTATCCATGCAAACGGTTGCTTTTCAAACTAGGCTGTTCTCAGTAAAGGTATGAGACTGCTGAAGCCCCGGTGGCTGCGGTGGATGTTGGTTTTGATCACTTGGTGACTAGTTTAACCCTCCCCCTTTGAGAGTGACCGGCAGGCGAGTGCAGTCTTACCTGTACCGGCCGAGTCGGGGTGGTGCTAATCAGGGGCGCGGGCCCCATGGCCGAGGCGGCGGTCAGGCTCCTCTCGCGCTCCTCCTGGTAGATGCGGTCCCGCTCAGCTTCTGGCAGCTGCAGGAAGTTCTGCATGGCGCGCAGGTTCACCAGCAGCGACTGCGAGGCGGTTTTCGGGTCCTCCTCTTTCCGCAGGATCTCAGACAGCAGGCCCTTTCACAGGACGAGAACGCAGTCATGACACTGGCGGTTCCGGCTGCCACTGTACTGGTCAGCACATATCACCCAGTAAAAAGCCTTAGAGTTCCCATATAACCTTTGAACCTGGAAGTACTTAGACTGGCTGCTGATTTTAATTGGCATCCCAGTCAGTGTTGGCATTAAATAAAAATGCATAAGTAGTAATTAAAATGCCAAAAAATAAATGAAGTATATGATAGTTTGAATATTTAAAGCTATGAAATTTAGTACTGGACTGGTCAATGACTCATTCATTCATTCATAGAAATAAAGTCTGGTGGAGACCTTTCTCAGATTCCTTTCTGCTGTTCACTTCAGTCACAAATAATAACCACTGCATTCGTCAGCTAGGAAAATTATACATCAGAGGGATATATCATGGAATAAATATTCACAGGCTGTTATTTAAAGCTCAATAAATGTCCGTCTTTATACTGAAGAGCTGGGTTAGCCCCACGGAGAGGGGTCACTGCCTTGAATATTCTCGTTCCACTTGAGTAGGTGAACACTTCAAGCGGCTAATTAGCGTCACTTTATTCCTTAAAACCCAAGCATTTAAAGAGATGCACGGCCGTTCGCTTGAGAGCAGAGAGATCTGACAACTCTGGGGTTGTGGCTCTGACTCCTGTCGGGGGGGGGGGGTTTATTTCGAGAGCCCCCTCCCATTTCTCGCACGGGTTTCCATCGGCTACTCCGATTTCTTCCCATGATCCGAAGATCCAAAAAAAAGCGGCGTTAGTGTGTGAACCTCGCCTGATGCCCTGTGCTTCCTGGGACGAGCTCCAGACTCACTGCGTGTCTGCACTGGAAAAGCAGGTGAGACCTGCTGGAGTGGAGGCGCCACTGACTTAAACACGCTTCTCTACTGGCTGGACTTTCTAAACTGTAGATGCTTCATTCTTTTCAGATGATCTGCAAGTATCTTGGCAAAAAAAAAGCTGTGATGTAACGTGGCCTGCTTAAGGAGGCACAGAAAATCCCTAATTACAAGCGAAAATAATTATAAGGAATACAATAAATAAAAATATTTAGAAGATCAGAATGAATTATGCAGTATGCTAGAGGTTCTGGTTTGTGCAAAATTTGACCACCGCCCCCCCCCCCCAAACACACAAAAGATATTATCGTTCTGCTGGAATTTAAAATCCTCAGATGAGCTGTGGGTTACTGCAGCCTCACTAAAACAGGGGAAGCTGCATTTTGCACATTAGTGCTTCCATCGCTGTAAACTTAAATCGCCCATTTCGGTGGTGGTCTGTGAGCAAGCCCCCCCTCCCCCAGGGGGCTGGCGCAGTGCCAGGTACATTACTGCGCAGGCATTCCTCCGCCTCACCTGACAGTGAGCTGTTGTCATGGCACTCGAGCTCAACAGGAATTCATGGGCAAATTGTTCTAATAATTGGCTTTAACAACAATGAGCAGCACATTCTTGGCCTGGCTTTCTGCCTGCATTACAGATTCACGCCAGCTCCATCTTGACGGGAAAATAATGTTAATAATAATGCAAATAATAATAAAAAAAAAATTCACTCGGTGCTTAATGGCACATAGAGGATTAAAGAACATTGAGCAGCGCAGTCTCCGAAGGACCCGACCACATACAGCATACAGCTTCGTGCTCAAGAAAGATTTGGGGAGTAGAAAATTAATGGGCACTCTGATTTCTTATCAGTTACAGGTGCTAAGTGATTATTCATGCCCAAGACAGAACAAACACAATCCCACACAATGAGCAGTAGGCAGTTAAGAATAGAACCAGATATATACTTGGTAGCATTCACCTTTTCATTGTTATTTCCTTTTGTGTTCGCAAATAATTTTCAGTCTTGCCGCTGAAAGATATTGCACTTTTGCATTATTACACTATCATTACAACTTGACTGCAGTGATATTGCAAGGGGCCACGCAGCTTCGCTGACATCTTGCCCAGGTTCATTAAAACCTCGCTCACGTGGCGATGCACGAGGGAAGCTGATTTCCCAGCACAGCTCAGGCAGCAGCTGTTTGACTACTGGGATGAAAACAGCCAACCTTGATTGTCTGCCTGAACTTGGCACGGCGTTCTATGGGACCGAGCACATGGTGATGGCAGAGCTGCAGGGCGTCTTCAGAATTCCGGGCGGAACCCTGCCGGCCATACCGTTCTAACAAGTGTTATGTAACAATGGGCCGCTTTATAAACGTTCCAGAACGTGAGGTCAATGTTCCAGTAGGTGTCTGTGTTGGGTGCCCTGCGCCTTGTGACAATGACGGCGGTATCATAGAAGGACAGCTCTTTGTCATTGAAACACGCTAATCCGTCGAGCGATAAGCGATGCACATAAGCCAGGAGGTTATGATGATGATGATGATGATGATGATGATGATGATGATGTTTACCTGTGTCCTGTTGAAGGCCACACGTGCAAAGACTGCCTGGGAGATACCAGCCCTCTTCAGCTCGTCACGGACCCACTGGTAGATTTCTGAGGAGACCTCCGTGTTGGAGGTCACCTGGGGTTCCAGGGGCTTGTTGAGGGCTCGGTTGACGGGCGGGTGGTTCAGGTACTGCTGGCTGAGCGATTGCTGGGCCAGGAGCCGGTTGACGGCGTACTGCTGGTTGAGAAACTGTGCCATGACAATCTGCTGGTTGACGAGCTGAGGGCTGATTGGGGTGGAGACCAGGCTGGGGTGGAGACCAGGCAGCTGGGCCCGGCCCGAGGCCTGACCGCCGTGGGACAGCGGAACGGGCGATGCGGGCTGCTCCGCCGTGCTGCCTGGGATCGGCTGCTGGCTGAAGCTCATGTGGTTCGTTCCAGGTGGGGAAAGGTCCGATAAACTGTCCATCTCTGTCGAAGATTAAAGCAAGGGGGGTATTGAGAGGAGAGAGGGAGAGGGAGGAAAAGAGCAAAGCTTAATGCGTCTAAAACATTCTTAAGTAACAGGGCATAAGAGAAATAACAAAAAGAAAAAAATCTACAAACAAAAAAAACCACACGGCCTTAAGTGAAACAAAGGACCTGGTGAATGCTTAAACATTATACTCTAAATATTATTACTCTTAAACAATACTCAAACATTCAGAAATACCCTTACTATTAAATATTACTCTGGTTATACTCTAAATATCAAGTTATTAAGTTAATGTGAAGTTATACATTATTAAATAATGTACATTGGGCTACATCTGTGAGGGCAATTTATACACAGAAAATATACACAGATCAAACAAAATATTTTTCGTAGAACATTCGAGATACGCTGTGATGCAACTCGTCACCAGCAGCCAGAAAGTCTTACCAAAAGTCAATTTGAAAACATGCCAATAACAACAATAAAACGCTCTGTTTAAGATGGCTACAAGGTAACAGGAGAAAAATACCTCAGGCTAAATGAGTATTGCAAAAAAAAAAAAAAAAAACCTCCATAAAATTTTTTTTTCTTAAACAGCGCGTTGGAATGGTATCCATTTTTTTGCCCCCCCAAGAAGTGCCGTGAGGAATAGAAGGCTGAAATTTACTACTGTTGCAAAAAGAGGATAACAGATTATAACCTCTCAGTGAGCCTACCCACGGTGTAACTCCAACAATGGAAAACGACGTGCAACAAAGAGCCCAAAACCGCAGCGACGCCCACTGAGACCAGACAGTACGTGGGGTAGTGTAGACTGCCCGACAGACCACACCATAGACGCAGGCAGAGGGAACCACAGCTACAGGGTGGAAGGGAAGCCCAGCGTCATTAAAACAGGCGAGTGGCGGGAAATTTACAAATGGCTTTACATCAAAGGCAAAGGCAGCCGCAGATCAAGGCCGCAGTAAATGTACATACAGGGTGGTCTTTCAATTCCACATAGAGAACTTCGCCGCACAAACCCATATAATCGTTATACGTTTGTGCCATGTGAGTCACATGAGCAAACAACAACAACAACAAAAAAAACCTTCCCAGATATTATCACAGACAAATACTGGAACTTCACGGGAAATGATCTGACAGCCCCACCCATGTGACTCTTTACGCTGTTACTTGTAAAAGAAGGTGTAAGTATGAGCCAGGGGAAGAAATGCTAGGTTTAAAATATTCCATGCGGTGGGGAATAACAGATCTCCTGCGCTATGACGGCCCGTGTAAGAGCATGTATGCAGAATCACAATGCAATGCATAGGAATAACTTCACCCTTTGATTACGCAGGTTGGTGAAACATCAGAGTCAGACGGGAGCACCAGCATCCCAAGAGGAGCCTCTCCACTATTTTTCTTTTTCCATTTACATTTATCTCACGCTATTGTCCAAAGTGACTTACAGTAGGAGAGAAGGGTTACGATATGTGCGCGATCTCCGGGATTTGAACCCGCGACCTTTGCGTTGTTAGCGCAATATGAGCGCATTTCGGAAGCGATTACACCGAGTGATATTACAAAATTCTTCGCTAAGCACTGGAACACCGGATCGCGGAAATTTCACAAAGTGCCTGAAAGAAACGGCTCTTAAAAAGAGCTCATAGGAATTTAAGTTCCAGTATAAAAGATAATATGGTATGAAAGAACAAAACCACAAAAGCTCCCGTAAATAAACAACAATAGGTACATAAAAGCACTTCCAAGCCACCAAGAGACAAAAGGAGAAAAGGGGAAAATCACACAGGCTTCCCTTCCTACTCCCCGACAACGAGTGTCAGAATAATCACACCGCAGATAATCCCCAGTCTCACTCGCCACGCTGTGGGTCGCCTTCTGGTCTTGCTGGGGGAACTGGGGGTGGGGGGGGGTCACCTAGACAGGCCACTATGTGACGGACTGAAAACGCAGTAGGAAATAAAAAGAGGACCTCGGAGAGGCAGCAGAAAAGTCCTTCTGCAGAACTGGACCCAGATCAGGATTAGCAACACAACGAAGCCCCAGATTTGACAAGGAACCCTGACCCTGGCGAGCAGACGGCCTCGGGGGAGGCTGTCCGTGGCTTGAGCAGTCAGAAGCCGGCTTCAGCGCGGGGCCTAACAGATGGAGATGCCCAATGATCCTCTAGCTCACCCTAGCACTTCAGCACCATTCACAGAACCGTTTACCTCTCGTTCAATGTGCAAAAATAAATGTACTTATTATAAAATATGATTAAAAAAATTACAGCCTTAAAAGGCATGACGGTCAAAGGTGTAGGGCTTCTGAATGACTGCAAACTATATCTTGGCTTCTGTTTACAGACAAAGCCACCAAAAATCAGCAGAGGACGCAACACAATGTGACAAAGCAGCCCGATATCGACCGATACCTCATCACTTTATACTATTAAATTGCCTCAGCGCAAAACAGGTCAGAGACGTGCGCACCGGCAGTCTGTGGTTGGAATAGCGCGTGTGGTTTTGTTGTTGTTTTAACTGGAAACATGCTGCAGCTCTCCTGACACTGAGAATGAGCAAAAAGAAAAAAACAAAAAAAAACAGAACAACACAACAGCAGCAGCGAAGGATGTCGCTGTGGGGCATGGGCACCCGGGGTGGCAGCCGGAACACGCCACGTGGCCGCCGTTGGGTGGGGGGGGGTAGGGGGGACACACGTGACATACCTACTGCAGCGGCACGTGGGCTGTCGTGGAGGACACACGTCCCTAGGTACCCCTCCAGCTGGGAGGGCTGGCGCATTACTGCGCACACACACATTCACAACACATAGAGGTGTGGAGGGAGGAGAGAGAGAAAGAGAGAGAGAGAGAGAGATGGTTAGGGCCCATTTACAGCCACGTGTATACAAACGGGGGGGGGGGGAATTACAGTAACTGGCCCTTACATGGAAAGTGATTACCTCAGTCTTGGCCTGGAAACGCAAAGGTTTTCATTTACGACACTTTTCGTTGTTTATGCCACACTAAGGCCAATTCGAATAGCAGTTAGCATTGCCGCTAAATTTTCTTTAAATGTTACAAGAAATAAAGCAGTTTTAGAAAGCACACGTTTCATCCTGCCGGTGTAGGTTTCATTTATCCGTTACGCAAAAACAGCCGCCGTTATGAACGCGAAATTTCCGCAGCCTAACCGTTCCTCGTCCTGACATGTCCGAGCTGAACCTAACAAACATGGATGCCTCCGACGAAAGCAGCATTTTGACTTATGAATATTTCACTTTAATTCGAGTGCTATGTGGCATAGTGCTGTTACTCTCCACGTCCTCACAGAGCCTCCTGCTCTTCGCATTAAAGCACGGCAGGTTCTAAATATTTTAATCAGGAGGGCGGGGCTACCACTGTTGCACTGTAAACAAATGAGCAACACACTTGTAGGTTTACTTATTTCATATCGCACGGGTTATTTTAGGTGCTGATATCAGCAACTAATGTTAATAATAAATATTAATGACTAATATTTCAGACAGTATTTATAAACAGGCAATAGTTAATAGCCTGATATTACTCTTAAAATGGAAAAGTTTTTCCAATACATCAGATACTGGGCACAAGCATGATGTCATGTAAACTTTGATGTTTACAGGAAATGCCATTACAACTGGAATCTTTGTTCATTTTGGTAACTGCACAAATATAGAGGGATGGAAAAAAAAAAGTATCAAGGTAAAATATACATTCATAAACAACTACGAAAATGAAAGCGATAATTTAACGTTCCATGCGATGGCGAGAGGAAATTAAAGGCAGAACCAAAAAGTGAAATATTTGGACTGTCGGCCAGTACGCGGCTGTAATATCTGCATGGGTTTATTTTGCTTACCCATCATATCCTTTGTCTTCTTGAAATGTTTATACCAGCGACCAAATTCCTGACACTTCGCCGCAGAGACATTTGCATAGTAAGTGCTGTTCACAATGGAGGAGATCATACTCTGTAAAAGAGAGAGATGAGAGTTGGGCAAAAAAGGTCTTTGGGGATCTGGAAAATGTAATATTGTAACGTCTGGGGGTGGGGGTTGGGGGGGGGCATGCACCCTACGTCCATTAAAGAAAATTCAATAGGACTGATGCATGAAGAAGTAGAGAGCACATTCAAAACGGCCATGCGAAAGTCTAAGCGGCATTTTCTGGAAAAGCAAAACAAAAACAGCAGCGTATCCCTTTAATAAATGCCACAGAGTCAGGGAGTGGAGTCGCTGGCAGAGTCAGCAGAGTCAAGCCCAAGCCTCGCCTCAATATGGTGGAGTTTACCATGCTTATTACGTAACTTATTTGATGAAACGGCGATATTAGAAGGGATTTTGGTGTTAACAGACGAAGCTTTTATTTTTCTGCCATGTATGTGAGCTGTTAAGCCACAATCTGCTTAAAAAACCAACCCACATATAGCTAGCAGTCCCCTTCATTTTCCCACTGACATCTCAATGCCATATTTACATTTGATTTCATCCCCCTTAAAACCTGATTAATGCATTCTTCACAAACAATGAGCACCTATTGTTATTAAGACCGAAGAAGCTTTCTCTGGCCTTGGGGTGAATAGCACAGATATTGTTTTGTTTGTAATAAATATTCAAAAGGCAAAATACCAGCTGTTTTCGAGTTGCAGGTATAGCAGCTCTGGTGCGTATTGCAGGGGCACTGGGAGCTTTCTGGCTTGACATCTCGTCAGCAGAGAACACCAAGCTCTGCTAATCAGAAAGACGCATCTCCTATGGTTCATAATCCGAGCTGTAAATCCGCAGACGCAAACCGTCAGGCTTCACTTTGGTCGTGATGCTTAACCCGAACCGTTCCATCACGAAGGCACTTTAAAAAGTTCAGTGTGACTGTCAAGCAGAAACACAGTTTTTAAACTGATTCCATAATGAATCTGAAGAATGATTCCTGGTTACACTTTCAGGTAGAAGTTGAACACATAAAGGTAAAATAAAAAAAAATAAAAAAAGAGTTTGCTCATTTACTAAAAGCTAACTATAGTAAGTCGTCCCCTCATCCACGTTCTGGAATAATAAACAACATCATTACGACCATTACTGCAAACATCGCTCAATAACCACGCACAGCGGGGTCCACCACAGACTCTCCGATCCCGCCATCTTTACACAGATGTTGCAATAAATGCAAATCATTAATCACGCATCCATCGCAATGCATCAAGGCCAGCTTTCAACTGGCGTTCTAGACAGTGTTGGGATCAGGGAAAGCTGGATGGACAGCAGTCACTGGCCAAGTGGGGGGAGGGGGCGGGGCAACCGACAGGTATGGGGAGGGGCCAGATCACCAGGCTCGCCAAGAGCCTATCACCCAGAACGATCTCCCTCTCTCCGTCATGGGAGAATCACCCGAAGAAGTGCACGACCGAATGACCTCCCTCTCTCTCTCTCTCTCCCTCTCCGACGAGGCCATTTGCCTGGCTCCAGCTGAACCAGATATCCTGCCCCCATTGTGTAGGAGACATGGGTTATTTGTCCCTTTTATCACGTCTTAATTATAGCCTCTTTTGACACCGATTGGGGCAAGGAAAAAAAAAAAAGAAAAAAAGAAAAAAAAAATCATTCCTTTAGCCCATGACAGCTCACACACACAGCTCACACACACACAGCACACACACACAGCTCACACACACACAGCTCACACACACACAGCTCACACACACAGGCGCAGAGACGGCTTTTGATGGCCATTTGCTGCTACGCAACTAAACAGCTGCTCTTTCACGACCACCGGGGTGACTGGGCCGATCTTTTGTGGCTGGAGTTCCCAAGAAGGCAGGGGCTTCGTCACAGAGAGGCGCAGTCTCTTCAAAGAGAATGGGGGGGGGGGGGGGGAAAAGGGCCGAACCAGGCCACGGCGGTTCACGGCGATTTAGGCGCCACACGGCAGAATCTCGGCAGCTAGGCAATGTCCGTGGGGCTCCACCGCGCGCCCTCTCTACGGATGCGGTTACAGAAAGGGAACAAAAGGCGCTATATTCGAGATCTCCCCTTTAACATCTTTGAAAAGTAGGGAGTGATTCATTCTGTGGTTCTGTATGCGTACCTCCCCCCCCCTCATTTTCGAGGGATTAAGCACCAGAATATCAGGGAAGTGGCAATCGATCCTGTAAAAGGCGTCAATCATCTGACTCTTCGATCTGCCTTTTCTATCAGCAGGACCACCAGACCGGCCTCAATCTGCGGGCCTCACAGCTCACACATGCCGCCAGAACCGAGCCAGACCCGGAATCACGCCAGGGACACTTAGGCCACAGCGAGAAATCTCAGACTGGGCAGCAACACTTCGCAGATTTACCCACGGGGACGATTTACCCATCCCAGCAAATTATTTATCGGCAAGATTTCAGAAACGTCATCAAAATACAGATTACCGCGGTATATTGTCTGGACAGTAATACAGCCCACGCCTAGTAAAATCTGCATGAGAAATGTAGAGGGGACCGTGGTAAGGGGCATGCAGTACCAGAGTACAAACACACAGTGAGGCCCGGGGAGGGCAGCCTGGGCTGAAGGTACGACACACCAACCCCCGGAAGCGTCGCCTCCCATCCTCATCACCCACCGTTCTATACTTCAGAAAAAAGGCTTAAAATAATCATGCATCCGCTGACGTGCCCTTAGAAAGCACCCGGCTGGGCGTGGCCTGGAAACGCTCGTCCACAAGGGCGGATGTGGGGAAGGGGGGTGTCGAAAAGAGAGACCCTGCCTGCAAACATCTCTCCAGCGGGGCTGGGCTGACCTCCGCTCCGGATTAACGTCACTGGGGGACTCCGACATGTCGCCTCGGTTCCGCACTGCGCACACCGGCCGGCTAATCCAGTGTTTAAAAATAAGTCAGGCATACCTTTCCTGCAGGTGTAGCTAACCGAAAGCCTGAAACGCGCCAGCGTGAACCGTGCCATAAAGCGTCCCCCCGGTTTAAATGACGACAAGAGACTCAAAAATAAAAAGACGCACCTGCGATTCAAGAAAAAAATAAAACTCCTGCACACATTCCAAGGACGCCTATAATTTCGGGTTGTCACTGTTTTTCTTTCCCTCCCTACATTTAATCAGCTAGTAACATACTTCAGCTAAACCATAAAAAAGCATGTGTGTTCATCTATCAGGCTGACAACAGGCAAGCATTTCCCTCGTCATTACAACTCCCCCCCCACCACCCCACCCCCCCACCACTCCATCAAACTCTGGGCATTTAGGAAAAGGGGATGCTTTAGTGCGATTTCACGAAGGGCTCCAGCACCTGTGACAAGGGGCATTCTTTTGCCAAAGAGCTCTGGTTCATGTCTTTCAGTAACTCCTTGAGGGCGTTTCTTACTGTAGAGTGGGTCCACTGCTCTGGAGGCAAGTCTTCCAGTTTAGGGCAACTGTCGAGGGATGGGGGAGGGTGGGAGGAAGAGAGAAAGGGGGTCAGATGGATGGGGGGGGGGCGGGGGACACACGGAGACACTAGGCCTAGCCTCGCTCCTGCAAGCTCCCTCTAAGACAGACAGATTACATTTGGCGCATTGAGGACATGCAGCTGGAGATCAGTCTCTCTCTCCTGATTGTTCTGATTAGTTAATTACTTTATACAACACATCTGCTGCATTGATGCATGAATTATACATCAGCTGCATGCGGCGACCATTATCTCATGTTTCTTCTACCTTCCTAACCGACGTACTCGGCGGAACAATTTAAGGTGTTCCTACCTAGGTGCCGCTCCCGGAACGTCGGGAATACCGCCGGAATTTCGCGGCCACACTTTCGCTTGACTGGATAGAAATATCGTAAATGCAGAATTACCATCTGATCCTGGGAACAGGAACAGGCATCAATGGCGAAAAAGAAATGGGATATATAAGGGAAAAAAAGAATCCAATTGGAAAAAACCAAGTTCCTAAAATGTGAGTGTGACAAAGAGTGTGGGTCTGGGAAATGAGTGTTCAGTGCACACGCGTGTAAGTGCACACGGGGGGCAGAGGAGGCATCCTTGCAGGAACACCTTAAAGTGAGGAGCCGCTCCGCCACTCCGGGGGAGCAAGGGAGCGGTAGAGAGCGACAGCTAAGGTGCACAAGCTCTGATGCACTAGAAATAAACAGCATCCCCCTCTTTTCCTGACTGGAGGGAGAGTCTACCCC